ATGCCCACCACGGTGCTGCATGGATATATGAGTACATACATGCAGCCGTATCTACGTAGCGGTTATTGGCAAGATGCCTACGGGAAACTCGTCCGAAATTGATTTTTGAGTCATTGAGAACGAAGGCTTTTTCTTCGCAGGATTTTGACCGTTTCACTCCGTTCTTTCGCCATTTCCCCACTATATAGCGCCCTACTAGCATTTTAGGCCAAGTACCAAATCATCGTGCCAACTGCCTTTAAAGACAATTCCCGCGATTAAGAGTAACGAGTAGCAGGTGCTCAGTCATGAACTAGTAGCCCATCAAAAACTCATCAGTAGAGAAAGAAGCGAAAAATAGCCGTGGGACCGGCGACTTCGAAGAGTTCATAATGAGGGCAGGCCCAATCAGTAGGATTCGGTGCAACCAATTAACGGCAAGAGCATAGGAAATCGCCCTACGACGCTCCAGGCAACGCTATGTACACACGCATTCCGCTTGTAAGCCGTTGTCTTGCAGAGTTACAGTACGCGGTTGCACGGTTGCAAAAGTCACGCGATTATCTCGCCATTTCTCGGCATCTTCTCTGCGAATTTGGACAGCGATACTAAAGACATTTGGCTAATCACCTGATCGCGGGAAGTGCCTTTGAGGCACACTTGAAACTTCATATGCTATGATGCCAATGAGGTCCACAAGGAACATGAAGTGTTAATTACTCACATGGTGACCAGTATGAGATGTAACACAGGAACATAGGGAAGGAAAGTGTTCAATCACATGGTAACCCTGAGGCATACCACATGTCATAAAGTTTTGAAGACCAAAATTAACGGCATACTTTCTGCAATCTTTCTATCAAACATGTACTTTTGGTGAAGCGGTTTGTTTCGAAAGATTTTCGTCGAGAATTTTGTGAAATAAAATCATCTGGAACTGAGATTAATGGACTGTATGCAAAATCTAATAAATGAGAATTATTGAGGGGGTCGAAAGCGAGATAGCTCAGCTTCCGTTTCGCACGTGCCCTTAGACGGAAGCCGAGCAAAAGCATATTCCTCCTTCCGTGCCCTTCAGTAAGGAAAGGAAGAAAAATCAATTACAGCAAGTATAAAGTTGAAACGATAAAGACTGAGAAGTTTAAGAATGCTAATTTATTGGTCAACGTGAGTAGGACATCGTAATTACGAAAAACAGACTATCACTTGATGTTACATTATAACTATCCAAAATTATTGTAAAAATAGGGTTACAGAGACACCAGTTAAACGAAAAAGCCACTGAGAATACCTCGGACTAATCTGCTTATGCTACCGTAATCATTCGTAATAGAGTATTTGTAACATATAAGTTTATTTCTATAAATACTCTTCACTATACTAGCTATAATGAAGTCCTCACTGTAACCATTGCTATAAAGCATTCTTACCGATATCCTTCTTATAAACGTATCAAAACAAGTACAGGTGTTGGCTATCCTAAGGGTTTCTGTGTATATAACGGAAGCCTTGTTGTTAGTGGAGATATTTGAATCACTGTGTGGGAATCTAATCACTTTAAAGTTAAAGTCATCTGTTTTATTATATAAACCAGTAGTAATTTGGCCGTTTACTATATTGATGGTTAAGTCCAAATAATTACTGTATAGCTCAGTTGTGTGTGTCTTCTTCAACTGGAGGGTATTTCTAGCCGCCTTGCAGAAAGTTATAGTTAAAAGGAGATAGAAAAATCCAGGGATTTTTTTTCCAAAAAGGCGACCGTCAATTCTTTTACTTTATATAGCGGATGAAGTGCGCCGGGAACTGATTTGGATCGAGGGATTTTTCTGTCCAGTCCTGTCGCGTTCAGTCAACTATTAGGCAGCGTTCAGACTTCGCGACGGCATCGGCGTTCGACGCGATCGATGCGCATGATTTCGACGTCGATCGCATCGAAGACACGACCGTAGCGCTGCCGTCGCAAAGTCTGAAAGCAGCCTTACTACTAGCAATCAAATGTCCGCAAAAACTGTTAGGCCTTTAGGGAGGGGGAGGGGGGGGCAGATTTCCATAATCTACATACACTCCTTATCCCTGAGCCATAGTAGGTGATGAACAGTGGTGTCAGGATGAAAATATCTCACCAGAAGCATAGACTCCTTTAGGTTAAGTTGAAGCATGCAGCCACGCCTACCCAATCTCAGGGATATCGAGTATACTCGGCCTGGGCATAGAACATCTGGCGAATCAGAAGTGAAAATTAGAGGAAAAAAATCAAGAACGTGGATAAGGATAAAGGTCTCCGCCACTGAAATCTCGCTCTTTCTCTGGGACGCACGCACCGCCCTCGGAGGGTAGAGGGTTTAGTTGGCCTGGGCGAGAGCCGATCCGGGATTTGACCTCCACGTTCTGGCGTGCGCTTGCCACTACACTTTTTTTCCCGCCTATAAAGAGCAATATGAGGTATTTTACCATCATAATATAGTTACTGTAGGTCTAGACAACACTTCTACGATGACAGCACGCGGCTTACCCATGGAGGTGATTGGGAGCAGGGCACGTCGTACGTTGGTGACGCGCAATAGGGTTCCGCGTTTGGTCGCTAGAGGGAGGGAGGTCGTAGTTCTCCCGGAGAATCATTTCCGATTGCTGATTTTTACCGATTCACGCGTACTATACATACCCAAGCCCCGTCCTAGCCGAAGTCGCGCAAAACTACCATCTCTGATAGTTTGATCGGAGATGGTAGTTTTGGCGAAGGGCTGGGGAGGTATCTTTCCCTCCCCCCCCCCCCGCCCTTCGCGCAACGGCTAGTACTTGGGAGATTTTGGTAAGATGATTTGTCGGTTGTCGAAGAAGATCGTGCCAGAGAAAAAAGTTCCGAAGGTGGTGGGGAGGAGGGCGTATTAATCAGAAATTCTCCCCAATTCCAGAACGTGCCCTAGCTGAGAGGCTAGCCCACACCCATGCGTACACGCCCTTCTTCCCCTCAATTCCTTACAATTAGAGCTTCACAGCTCCCATATCCAGCCGATTCCTGCTCGGCAGACAGTGAGCTCGTCGCTTGTAGTCAGATGAGTCATTGATTTGTTGAGCACGAACAGCCTTCTACGTTGTTCTAGTGAATGACTTAACCTTCCATAATTACTGTTTTGATAGGCGTAATAGGTGTCTTCGTTGTTTTTGTGTAGTCATAGCATCGTTCTAACTGCATTCGACGGGGCGTGGCAATGCGCGTCTCCGTAAGGTTATCGATTGCGAGCGCGTTCTCCTGTTTTTTTTTGCTTCCCTAATTCATTATTATATCATACAGTGGTCCTGTGAGCTAGTCCCTTTAATGACCCCGTGCTTGAAAATGGACAAAGCTTTCTACCTGCACTAAATCTTTATCGTTATGACACGTTCATAACAGTGTTTAAATACAATCATGTGAACAATAACTACATACAACTGGACCTGTTATACTTATCCCGGAAATACAATAGGCAACTAGTTGATCCCATTATTATGGCGATTCATAGCATATAAACAATTACTAAGTAATATGTACAGTATGCAATTAATCTTGTTGAACATATTCAATTTTCATGGATGGCTTCCAGCAATCAGACGGTTGAAGGCTGTACTCCCAGTCGCCGCAGATCACCGTGTCACGATAGACCTGGAAACGCCAAGGAATGATCTACCGATTGATCGATTTTACGAAAGTCAATAAATCTTCGTCTGCACTTACTCCTATTCCAACCCCTGCGCCTTGTTCCAAAAGATGATCTCGAACATCATGTTGGCTCCCAAAACAGTGGTATTTCCGAACTGACAATGAAAAACTTATGTAAAACATGTAACAGTATACTTGGGAAGCTATTGATTGGTATTGATATATTGGAGGTTGGTTCATACTTACCCAAACTGCGAAATACATCCACGAATTTCATTACCATATCAAACATGTTGTGGGACAACTGAAAATGTATGACTTTATTGAGCTCGGACAAGTTCGAATGATCTCTACCATTGATCGATATGGAAAAGGGAGCGGTAAAAGAAAAGTAATAAAAATATCATGTGTGCATTAAGTGATACCTACAGTCATATCACGGCGCATGGAGGGGCGTGGCTACGACTCCGGTTGCAAGCGCTTTGGTGGTCCAGGCGGAGACGCGGAAAATGTGGGCCTTAGAGAGCGCATATGGGCATAACTCTGGTCTTTTTTTGCCTGAACCGACAGTTGTCCACGAAGGCACATTCATAGCTCCATTCACAAGTGAGTCTTTAGCCACGCCCTTTCCGTGCGCTGTGATATTGACGATTCTATGCAAGCAGTGGTATCATAGCTCTTACTAGAAAAATTGGTAGGTAATAGGTAACAGATAGGTTGACGATAGCGAAATATAGTATTTCAAATTTGCTTTTTATAAGTGCTGATACAGCGTAATAAGGAAAGAAGACGACCATGAGTTCTTTGAGTTTGGATAGGTCATAAAAGGATGGCAGTGAACTCGATAGCAACACCTTCTGAAATGCGCCATAAATTCAACTACTTCCCGGAATCGTAAGAACACTTGGAGTAGTATTTGACCAATAGAACCGGCCAATAAACAATTAGCGTACTTGCGTTCCCAGACGAATATGCTTCGAAGTAGCCAACTTCGTCTGGGAAAACGTCGTAGGATAGGAAGCTTGGTTGGTCTGGGAGGAACTCGGTCCTGAAACCAAGCGCTGTCAAAGCTGCTGCTTGTCAATGCTCCTTCTTCATCTGACAACGTGCTATATGGGGATTAAAAAACTGTAGAAAGATGCTCATCAAGCAGGTGGCCAACATGCAGATGTCCTTCTCCCGCGTCTTCATCATGAGCCCGCAGCGTTGGTGGGAGCAGGGACATGATTTTCAAGCTTAAAATGATAAAAATCAGAGGAAGAACAGGAGACACACAACACCCAACCCCGCAACCAACCAAAAAAAGGACAAAAAAAAGAAAAAAAATTAAAACATGGTTGGCCGAAATAGAAGAGAAATTATATAGTCGAGCTCAAACATAACGATACGAAAAAAAAAAAAAAAAAAAAAAAAAACAAAAAAAAACCGCCGCCCCTCAGCCTCCTCTGTTCTTTCCTCCACCGATCGACGTCGTCGCACGGGGGGGGGGGGGGGGGGGTAAATAGCACATGTGAAACAAGAAAAATCGCAAGACGAATACGACCCCCCCCCTCTACCAATTTTCAGATTTTCCCCAACTTCCTGCCACTTTTTTTTTCCAAATTTCCGTAAAGTTGCCCTAAATTTCCTCCCAAAAATTTGCTGTCGAGGGGAGTGGGGGGGGGGGGCATCATACTACACACATAAAACAGGGAATCACGATTAAGTTCAACCACCACTCCTAAGAGGACAAGCAGTATAATACACCCCTCGCGCCTCCCAAAACATGCACTAAGCACCGGACACCCCCCCTTTTAACAAACGTCTCAGAAGCGAGAAAAATCAACTATCAACAAGTAAATTTTTTCCTAACGCCAAATACACCCCTCTTCCTGGCGCTAATTACGACCCCCCCCCTCACCTGCGGATCTCAGCAACACAGCGTGTGCCCTGACTATTAGAAGCGTTGAAGAATCTCGTGTGGAAATTGAAACAATTTGAAAGAAATTCAAAGATCTCAGCTGGAAAAGTGGGAATGCTCCTGATTGCAGAATGAACGCAAGGCAGTACGGGAGAATGAGTTCCTAGGCGCCGAGTAGCAGCTACCTTTGAAGGTGTGCTGATATGAGTTATGTGATAGAGCACGCTAGACGAATAGAGGCAAGATAAATTGACAGTTTCAGAAGAAATTAAAAACTTCCTTTTTTGCTTTCTTTTACGAGAGTATGCATATTAGCATAGGTTCACTTGTTGAGACCTGTAAACCTCGTGAAGCTGCAAAATGGGGTAAATGAGCCACTTTGGTCCTAGAAATTCACAGGTGTTCTTCAATGATCTGTATAAGCATTCTAGAGCCACCCTCTCCCATCCTTTGGTAGAAACAGCGTGAAAACAGTTGTGCAGAATATAGGCTTAACTGCGAATGGTAAGATTCTTTTTTGGAGTTTCCGACCATACATGAGCGCCACATGCCGATCGGGACACGTTATTGTCGAGGATTCGCCAAGAGAGGTCGTATTTGTTCTGGGAAAATCTTTTTCGATAGTTAATTTTTTTCTTGTGTCAGGGAGGAGCAGTTGTGTTTGTACCCTTGCTGAAGCGGGATCGTATTTGCTGTCTCTGGCCCTCCTTAGAGTGGTTGTCGATTTTTCTGGTTTTTTCCAGTTTCATATGCAAGATATATACCCCACCCATTTCCCTCGCTTGACAGCTCGATCGGATCAGAGAGGATGGGTCGTACCAAGCCAACCTTTTAGGGGGGGGGGCGCTCATACGAATTCGACCGAACCTGAAACTATGACTAGTGATGTGCCCTGATCCTAATTCGGCTCTAGCTTGGGCCAGCCAAGCCTTCCTAACTTATTGTTCAGGCCATTTGTGAGCCAGTACGATTCTGAGTGGAAGTAGAATGCGTGCCGCATCCCAGAGAAGGATCGATCAAAGGAGGAAGCTTTATCCTTCATCCATTGTATAGAGTTGGACCTTACTAAAGTAGATCCTACTAATCTGCGTCCTAACAAGAGAAAAAGTGCGACGAATATAAAAAAAAAATTAAAGAAAAAACGCAGATAGCTATGTAACTGCCAAAACATATTGTGCGTACACTGGTTTTCCTAAAGAAAAAAGAAAACAATGAAGCCAGAAAACAACATGGTTACAATGAAGAAAATAGTATGTTAGGTTTAATTGAATCTGTGAGATTAGTTGTCCGAGCGATGAAACATGTGACAGCCCGTGAGCTCGAGTGACATTTAGCCAAGTCAGGTCTAATGTGACCCATAGCCGTAGCCATGTCATCGATGGGGTGGGCATTAGCACATTGTTTTGTGCTCTCTTTTTGCCGGAGGACCACTGGGACCACAACTGTAGTGTCAGGTCGAGCAATTATTTGTGTGGATTTTAGGTATCCCTAAGAGGTCATAAACCATGATCGAAGTGCGTCAGGGCACTTTCATTAATTCTCCCGTCGTGAAAACCATTTTGGGATGTTCGTACAGCGATCCAGGGCAAATCATGCTCACAATCAGTTTCTTTGGACCAGCTTAACTACAACAAATCGACAGCTGAATGTTGCGTCATGTTGATCCGAATAGGAAAATAAGAAGTGTGGAATTTTCGCCGTTCTTAGATATCTTTCTGAGATATAGCAGGCATTTACTTTTATATGGAATTGCAGTAACTTTTGAAATCCGTTTCATCAGCAAGACCTGGAGGTCAGCCGAGTCACGGGGCACAGTTAGGATTCCCCTTAGTTTTGTCATTATTCCCGCGCGTCTGACCTTTTCATGGTTGGTACGGCAATACTGACTCCAGTTACACTCCTTATCCCTGAGCCAGAGTAGGCGTGGCATTTGAACATGGTACGGAACTGGTTACTCGTGGAATATTCCAGTCTGGGACAACTGTCATCTTGTTCTTTGTTGGACAGAGACACGACAACATTGTGTCGAAGATGAAAATAAACACCTTCAGGAAGCTTGAAAAATGCGGCCACGCCTACCCGATTTCAGGGATTTCGAGTATATATTGTTATTAGCTATGTTAGTATGCCTCTAGGTAGGTATCAATATACTCCCTATACCTCGGAAATGGGGAGGGCGTAGGTGTGCAAGTCATTTGAACGTGTTAGCGGCTGCGCTTCTGGCAGGATGTTGCCATTTTCGTACAATTACAGTCAGGGCACGTACTGCCTGTGGGGAAAATTTTCGTGAAACGCGAACCTGCAATTTCGTTCTCTGCCTCCCCCACCCTTTCCGTAGGAGCTCTCCCAACGATGTGAATAGCGCCCGTAAAAAAGGAAAAATCAACTATTAGAAAAAAAGGTTTCCGACCAAATACCACACCACGTCTCCCGACGTCAATCCAATACGACCCTCACCCACTGCGGATTCCCCCACCTAGGACCTGCTCCTGATTACAATCATGTCTTTGTCTAGCGCTAGATAACATGACAATTGCTTCGAATGGAAACATCTCACACAACGAGGCTGGAGTGTTGTAGTGGCAAGTGCCACGCTTGCCAGTCGCGCGGTCCTGGGTTCGACTCCCAGTTCGGCTCCCTCCCAGACCAACAAGCCTCCTACTCTCCGGGTTTTTGGCACCAGATCCGTCTGAGAGGACAAGAATAGTGACTTGTACATTGGCTGGCACGCACACATTGCGAAGTAAGCGTCGCATTCAATGAGATCTTGCGATTCTTGTAGGTGCAAGTAGAACGCGTGCCGCTTCTTCAAAGAGGGGTTGATTAAAGGCGAAGACTTCATCCTTCATCCTTCTGCCCCACGAGCAGAGGGTCCTACGCTATTTTTGAATGAAGTACGCCATCACCATCTCCAAGATGTAGCGTGCAAGAACTTTGTCAGTAGTTCCTTCAGTATGTCGTTATTTCGTCATACCCATCTCACTAAAGATTCCAATGTTGACGAAATAATGTGGTCCTTTTGAAGCTAGAGGATGAAGCGATCCAACTGTGTTTTGTAGTAGTTTTCAGTTCATGTCTTTCTTTTCTCTTCCAACTATAAACGACTCTATTTCAATTGACTACTGGAACTGGCAGAGGTGTACCAAGGAATAACATGAAAGACTT